TCATTTGTCAAAGGCCATCTGATTCAGTGATGCAATTTGGCATTCATCTATGAAGCCTCTTACTTCGTGCGGAGCCAAATATGTCGGAGCAGATCAAGTTAGGAATGTTGTGGCTAGCACTTCATCAAGATCTTGTCGGACTCGTGCATGCACTTGCTCCAGCTACCCTTGACAATACTCTTCACTTGGCACAACGTTATGAGACGTCGCCTCTTCCACTTCTTGCTGCACATTCTTCCGCTCCACTTCCTATGGGCGATGGTCCTGTTCCAATGGAGGTTAATGTTGCTGCTGCTCGAGTCCAAGGACAAGGGCGAGGATGTGGTTGTGGCCGTGATGTTCACTGCTGGGTGTATGATGAAGTTTGGTCATACTTATCGGTGTTGTCGGCATTTTCCGGATTGGCAACCTTCATTTCCTATGTGGAAACCTTGGCATCAACAACGTCCTATTGGTGCCGCTGCTATAGAAGGATTGAACACTGAAATACATCTGGGAAACAAGGAGTCTTGTGAGTAACAAAGGGACCTTGCATGAATAAGTCAGTGACCCCTCCATCTTTCTTTCGGGAGTATCATCAAGAGGTTCACTAGGCACCAGTTCATTCAGTATTTACTTTCCAAACTTATTTTTATAACAAGAGGTCTCCTTTTATCCTCTCTGTGTTGGTTGATATAGGTTTGAGTTTATCTTCTATTACTCAATCTGTTGCCACACGTTTTTTGTCTACACTTGTGTTATGCAGCGGAGCCAGTTTTCATTTTTTATGGCAACAGCTGTACACATGCATGTACACGAGATGAGGCGGATTTGGTTGTGCATGTGGGCGATATCGAGCTTGGGTTGCAGTTATTGCGAGTGGTGTTGAGTCAAACTTTTGACCTCATCCTTGGCATGAATTGATTGCAATGCAATCATGCTAAGTGTGACTTTGAGGCTTCTTCCCTTTGTTTTATACTTCCTTATATTTCATCCATTCCTCTCACTTTTGTATCTCTTTGTCCCTCTACTTCTACCTCTATTTCCATTACCTTTGTCCCCCCATTATTTCCTTCTATGTTTCCATCTTATTCTACTCTTCCCTTTTCCAATCCCTCCGACAATCTTTGTACTCCAGTGGTTGACCGGGTCATGAAGGAGTATTTTAATCTCTTTGAATTTGACTTATCATCTGGGGCAAAGATTGCCACCCATCATCCAAATCCAGCCAGGGATGCTTGTCCAATCAAGGTTCTTGTTTTTCACCGGTCACCCAAAGAGATCAAGATTTTAAATGCAAATGTCAAGAAGATGTTGAAGAAGGGTGTTATTCGGAAGTCGCGGAGTCCTTATGCATGTGAACCTCATCTTGTGACGAAGCCTGATAGGAGTATCCATTTCTACATTGACTATTGTCCATTAAATTAAGTGACGATCCCGACTGTGTACCCTCTTCCTCACACTACTGATCTCTTGGATCGTTTGGGGTGAAGTTTCATTGGTTCACCAAGCTAGATCTTGCTTCTAGGTACTGGCAAATACCGATGGTAAAAATATTCCTAAGATTGTTTTTCGTACACCATTTGGTTTGTACAAGTTCTTAGTGATGCCGTTTGGTTTGAACAATGCTCCAGCAACTTTCCAGCTGATAATGGACGAAGTTCTTTATGATATGCCGAAGATGACTGCTGACTTCATTAATAATGTCCTGATCCACTCGGAGGGGACATGGGAGGAGCACATTCGTGATGTTTGTAAAGTGTTAGATCAACTATGGGATGTTGGTTTGAAGCTGAAGCGGTCGAAGTGCGTGTTTGGGTCCAAGGACACAATTTATCATATTTCTCGTGAGGGTTTACAAGTTGATCTTGACAAACTTATGGCTGTTCTAAAGTTCCCTACTCAAAAGTGTGTGAATGATGTGCAGCGCTTCCTGGGCAAAGTGCAGTATCTCGGTCGTTTTGTGAATCATTTTTCTGATCGCACTGCACCGTTGCAACATTGTTGAAGTCATCAACATCATCTTTCATCTGGTCTTCAAATCGTGAGTGGGCGTTCGTGGATCTCAAAGAGCTCTTGACGACTCCTTCGGTTTTGGCATATCTTGACTACACTTGACCTTTTATTTTGCCCGTGGATGCCTCTGATATTAGTCTTGGTGGTGTGTTGATGAAAAAGAGCCTGAGTGTGTTTGGTTAGCGCCATCCCATTATGTATATAAGCTATACATTACAACCAACGGAGGTGAATTACTCCACGATAGAGAAGGAGTGTTTAGCAATAGTCTGGGGTTTCAAGAAATTTCATGCATATCTATATGGTTCTCAGACGTTACTTAAAACTTCATATATATGATTTTGATGTTGTTTATTGCCTAGAGAATTCTATGGCTGATGCTGATGCCCTTTCTCAAACTCCTCTTCCTTCTCCACTCTCTTCTCATGTTTCTGACAAGCCTGTTGTTCTGGCATCTATGGATTTTCTAGACGAGGATTTTGTGCTATCAGTAGTTGCTGTACTTGATGTTTAGTGTTCACAAAGTGCAAAGCAAGATCTACCTTCTCTTAATGAGGTTCATGAAGCTCAAAAGCTTGAGCCATGGATTCAAAGGCTTCGAGATGGGTTTAAGAATCTTACATCACTTGCTGATGACTTGCCATTCCAGCATTTACATTTTCAATATTGCCTTGAAGACGGCCTTCTTTATTTTGTGGGGACAGATCCTGATGATCCTTTACAGTTGGTGGTGCCTTTCGTCTTTATTCCATAATTTCTCCATGTCTACCATGATTCTCCTATTCTAGATAGGCATATGGGACATTGTCGTGTGACCAAGAAGCTATGCAGGTCTTTTTATTGGCCGAAGATGCAACGTGATGTTATCCAGTATGTACATAGTTGCTTTTGGTGCTAAGCTCGTAATACTCCCCTTCATGCTGCAGAAGGATGGTTGGAGTCAATTACAATTTCCCGTCCATTTGAGTTAGTGGTGTTTGATCTTATGGGATTTTTTCCACGATCGATTATTGGCAATGAGTTGTTATTATTGCTTTTGACTATTTGACTCATTGGGTGGAAGTTGGTGCTTTTGCTAGTGCCTCTACAACTACTGTTGGATACTTCCTCCTTAATCGAGTGGTGTTCCAGAATTCTTGTCCGGAGCAGATTCTTTCAGATAATGGTCCCTTATTTATGGCTGAGGCGTTTCATGTTTTGACGTCTCGGTTGGGGATATGCCACACTTTCACGAGTGTTTATCATCCATAGTCAGACGGTTTGGTGAAATGGCTTATTCGGACATTCAAAGGAATGACCGTGAAGTATGTGAATTTTCAGCATTTGGATTGGAATGGTTATTTGCCATCTCTTCAGTATGCATATGTCACAAGGGTGCAAAGTTTTATTAATGCTTCACCATATAAACTTCTATATGGTCATGATCCAATATTACCAACGGAACAGGGTTTACCTTTGCAATTGCCATAAGCTGCCAATGCTAGATTGTGGGATCAATATTTAATGAACATTCTTCCACTTGTCTGAATAGAGTTTGCCAAACACTTAGGCCACGTACAAGTGGGATAACAACAGCACTACAACTTCCATCATTGTCCACCTATGGAGTACAAAGTGGATGATTTAGTGTTAATCAGTTTTCCCCATCTTATGGTACATGCTTTATCTAAAGGGCTCCTTGCTCAGTGGAAAGGATTGCGGCAAGTTGGACCACAAGTTTATAAGGTTTGGCATAACATTCAACAGGCTGATCCTTTAAAGATTGTGCATGTGCAACGGTTGAAACACTTCATACAAAAGGATCATAAATAATTAATACCACCTACAAATCCACCGATGTCTCCTCCTGACGTTCCTCCAGATCCTAGCCCATCTACAAGAGAACTTTGATGGTTTTCACATTATTCTGATATGAGGGGATGATGTGAGGGCTAAATGTATGGCTATGATGCCGTATACTAATATTAGCGTAGTGGGATTTTGATAGCCATCGGATTGGTTTCAATTCGGACCACTTGCTCTTGTATATAAGCTAAGGTTTTTGGGCTAATTGATATATACATTTTCCGTATTCCCTTTCCATATTCCAAGCACTCACAACACCTTTATAAATTTTATAAATATAGAATATTAGGTATTGAATTTATAGTTTATATATTAATAACAATTTTTTTTAATTTCAATTCTTAATTTTACTGGTAGTAGGTTAGTGTTCATAAAATTTTATTGTTCTATATTCTAAGAAAAGTAAATAGCAAAGTAATTCTTTGCTAATATCTATATTACTTAAAATTAAATTAATTTATTTCAATTCTATTTCTAGGTGTTTGAGTTTAAGAGTACATACAATCTTTTATTTTTAGGTTATGTTTGAGTATATTAATATTCTTAAATCTTGGTTATATATTTATTCATTTTCCAAGTAAAAACATAATAATTAAATAATTATTTTCTAATTAATGATAATTATTCTTAGTAGTAGTTCTTTACATTTCTATCAGTTTGGGTAGTAATATATTATTTTTGCTAACATTTTTAGGATTCTTAATTTATTTATATCCCAAGTAAAAACATAATTTACATGTAACATCTAATTAATAAAGTTTATTTTTAGTAATTCTTCTGTTTTGGTTTTGTTTGGAAGTGTGCAATTTTTGTTTTAATTTTTCTGGGTTGAGTATTAAGTTTTTTAAAATTTTACTATTCTAAATATATTCATATTCCTAAGTAATACTATATATAATATCTTTATCAATAATATTTACTTAGCAATTATTGGGAATATTTTAATGTTTTAAATATATAATCTATGCTATATAGCACTCCCTCTCTCTCTCTCTCTCTCTCTCTCTCTCTCTCTCTCTCTCTCTATATATATATATGAAGAAAAAAATTATATAAAATCATTAATTTTTGTACTCATCCAACATTTGCTGGGCAATGCTAATTTTAATATAAGTAAGGGGAAAATTCTGTATAAAAGATTGAAGAGCCCTAATTTTCCATTTGGCTAAAGGTAGGGCTTGAGCACCGCCATCGCAAGTTCTCAGCTATGGAGGAGCATTTCATCCTCAGGGTGCCGCCGTCGGTGGCGGAGCGGCTCAACGGCGTGCTCAGCGAGCGCGCCCAAGCGCCGGAAGACGAAGGGATCGACATCTGCTTTCGAGGTAATCACAACAAAGGGATTTTACTTTGGTTAGAAGGACTTCCTTGCGCCTGTAGATGCCAGAACTGGGATGTTTACGATCGGGAAAGACCAGTTTGAGGTATCGCTGGTCGATCTTCCTTGCGTCGTGGAGTCCTACAAGACTTACGACGATACTGTGCTCATCAAGGCGGCCGATATTGGCCAGGTAAGGATCAAAGGAGCTCTGTTTTCTTCTTCCCGGAAGGATGTTCTTATAGCTCTTGGTGTTTCTTCTCGAAGGGTTTTCTTACAGCTCTTGGGTGTAGATGATTCTCGTGAGAGATAACAAGGAGCCTGCTCCAGAGGGCGTGGAGCACAAAGACGGGCTCACTCCGGCGATGAGAGACGCGAGAAAGCGGCGATTTCGCAGAGACGCCGAGATCATCAATGTGAGATTCATAGAGAAGATCTTCGTCACTGTGATCTTCTTGGTTTTTCTTTTGCAGCCAGACTTCGTACACAATGTGGAGAACGATCTGGTGAACATCCTGGCCGGAGGAACTGCGCGAGATGTGGATATCCTTTTTCTTCTTTTGCTGTTCTTGTGCTCTCTCTCTATGATTGTTTTGGAAGCTTTTCCTTAGATTGGTTTCGATCTACATGTTGAAGTGGTGGAGCAGGAAGAAGATGTTGAAGAAGCGGAGCCAGTTCCAGCTCCGGTTGCTGTGCCTCCGCCTGTTCAACCGGCAGCGGCGGTGGTGGCGAGTGACAAAATCGCCGCTGCTCCAAAGGCGACCGATGAATACGACGATTCATCGGACGAGAATGGCTACTACGAGGACTCGGATGATTACTGAAGCGATCCAGAGGCCTCAGGTAGTAAGTTATTTGCATAGTTTCTTGTCCAAAGAGCAAACACTGTGTATGATATAATCGAAAATCACACAGGCATTCTGGACCATTGGGTCAACTATATTTTTCGGGTATAAACATTCTATATTATAGGAATAGTTTTAAAATATTAGAACATTTTAAAGAATATTTTACAATAGTTTAAGAATATTCCTGTGCCAGAATGTGCCCTAGAATGCGCTATGGCTCTTTCACGAGCGCGAACGGCAAGACGCTTGAGCTGCCGCGCTGCGGGTTTCAAGGTATGGCGCCAGCATCGGTGCCGCGTTTGGCTGCAGGATTTCGCTGCGATGGATCTTGTTGCCGCGCTCAAGGCGTGTGGCAGCTTGGGGGATCTGGACTCCGGCAGGGAAGCGCATCGCGCGGCTCTTGAGAACGGTGATCTCTCCAGCATTTTCGTTGCCACTGCGTTGATTGATATGTACTCCAAATGCAGGGCGATGGTGGAAGCCCGAGGCGTGTTTGACGCGATGGATTCTCGCGACGTGGTCTCGTGGAACGCTTTGATCGCGGGGTATGTGGAGAATGGACAGAGTAAGCTCGCTCTGGACTTGTTCTTTGGCTTGGAAAGACCAAACTCGAGAAGTTTTGTGGCTGCAGCTATGGCGTGTGTGGATTTGGCTGCGGACGAAGCCGGCCAAAGAATTGGTGACGAGGGAAGAGTGGTGAAGCTAAAGTTTCTGGAAGAAACCATGGCTGTGCACTCTCGGGCTCGACAGATGAAACTGGACGCTGCGATCTTTGTTGGAAACGCTCTGGTGAATTCATACGCAAAGTGTGGAAGCCTGATGGACGCTCGACGAGTGTTTGACGGTATGGTTCTTCATGACGTCGTGTCCTGGAACTCTCTGATGCGTGGCTGTGTAGAGAACGACGAGTTTGCCATCGCTTTGGAGCTCTTTTCACTGGCACTGTTTCGTGATGCTCGGACTGTCGTGGCTGCTCTCATGGCTTGTGGAAGCCTGGCCTTGGCAACAGGAAAAGAAGAGCTTGATCGACGTGAGGTTTTGGAGAAAGCCATGGCTGTTCACTCCCAGTGTGGAAAGCACAGGGATATCTTCGTCGAGAACACTCTGGTGGATGCTTATGCCAAGTGCAGCAGCATGATCGATTCGAGGAAGGTATTCGATAGCATGCAGCGTCACAGTGTTGTTTCATGGAACGCTCTAATGCTTGGCTATGTAGAGAACGGGGAGGACGAGCTGGCTCTCGAGCTCTTTGAGGCCATGCGAGTTGCAAAGTTGATACAGCCGGATGCTAGGACGTTTGTGGCTGCTTCTATGGCCTGTGCTGGGCTATCAGCAAGCGAACAAAGCTGTGAACTCGACGGCAAAATGGTGAAGACGCTTTGCACAGAGAAAGGAACCAGGATACATCTTCAAGCTCGAGATTGTGGCTTTGATTCGGAACTCTTCGTGGCCAATGCTCTGATTGACATGTACGCCAAGTGTGGAAGCATAAACGACGCCAGGAAAGTTTTTACCGGTTTGAAACATCCTGACGTCGTTTCGTGGACATCACTGCTACAGGGATACGCGGAAGATGGTGGTGGTGGTGAGCTTGCTTTGGAGGTCTTTCAAAGACTGGAGCAAACCTCAGGTTGTGTGTTGAATTCTCGGGCTTTTGTCGCTGCTCTAATGGCTTGTTCCAGTTTGGCAGCAAAAGAGCAGGGAAGAAAAGTCGATGGAAAGCTCGTGAAACTCAACTCCCTGGCGAAATCCTTGGAAATCCACTCAGCAGCTGCGAGAAACTTGTGTGACTCGGACATCTTCGTCAGCAATGCTCTGGTAAGTCTCTACTCAAACTGTGGATTCATGCTGGGTTCTCGGACAGTGTTTGACAGGATGAAAGCTCACGACTGTGTCTCGTGGAACTCGTTGATCCTGGGATACGTCCAGAATGGCGAGAGCTCCCTCGCTTTGGATCTCTTCGAGTGCGGCAACTTCCAGAAAAACTCCCGGGCATTCGTCGCCGCTCTCGCAGCTTGCGCAGCTCTTGCCGCTCGAGAAGATGCAGAATTCGTGGCCGGAAAGCTCGTGAAGCTCAAGAGCCTGGAAAGAGGCATGGCGATTCACTCGAGCGCCAGGAATTGCGACTGGTGGGAATCGAACTCGGGCAATACTTTCCTCACGAACAGCCTCTTTCACATGTACTCCAAGTGTGGGAGCTTGGAAGATGCTCAACGGATCTTTGACCTTGACCGTGGTCAAGGCCTTGGTACGTTGACGTGGAAAGAGCTCGTCCAAGCTTACGTGGAGAATGGTGAGAGTGACCTGGCACTTGGGATATTCGCTCATGTGGTTAAACTGGAGTGTGACACTGGTGCTTTGCTTGCTGGGCTCATGGCCTGTGGTAACTTGGTAAATCTAGAGACCGGGAAATGGATCCAGGGGGAAATTTACCGACGTGGCTATGAGAAAGTTACTGACGTCGTAACTGGCATGGTTAGTTTTTACTCCAAATGCGGTGGGAGGATGGGGAATGCCCGCCACGTTTTTGACCAGGCTTGGACCCTCGACAGTGTTCTCTGGAATTCCCTTATATGTGGATATTCTCGAGAGGGTGAAATTAAAGTTATGCTTGATTTACTCTACCATATGCGAGGAGAAGGTTATCACCCAGACGGGGTAACTTTCCTCTCCATTCTCAGTGCTTGCTGCCACGCTGGATTGGTGGACAGGGCCGAGCATGTGTTCCGGGTGGTGATGTGTCAAGAATGTGGCATTGTGCCGTCTGTCCAGCACTACACGTGTATGGTAGATCTGTTTGGCCGCGCAAACCAGCTTGACAAGGCACTGAGATTGGTGGAAGAAATGCCACACAAGCCGGACAAGGTGACGTGGCTTTCATTGCTGAGCGCGTCTAGAACGTGGAAGAATGCTGGCGTGGGCAAGGTCGCATTTGAGAAGGTGATGACGTTCGACAAAGAAGAGGCTGCGGCTTACTCGCTAATGGCAAACCTAATGGGTGGGGAGTGACTAAATAACGAAGTTCAACTATATAGCTAGTGAAAATGTAAATACTTTTTTTGAATATATTAGGTACATATATACAAAATGTCTGGTCATCCACGTGGAATAATTAATTTGGCACCTTACAAAAAACCAGCACAATCTAAGGTGGTACGACACATGTGCCAATGCTATTAACCTAATTTTTTGTGGGAGGGAGCTATCAACAAACTACGCTCGCACAAAAAATTGGACACGTGGCCCATATCAGCTATTAAACTGATAAAAACAGATGTTACACTTGATCTTAGCAAAAAGGCAGAGAAAGGTATGAATATTATTTGCAGGTTTGAAATTGCGAATTGAACACGCGACCTTGCATCTACTTAAATGGCTAATATTAACCATTGATTAAAATTTAAATATGCCAAGCGTAGCTCTGACTAATTGTTTCCAGCTGAATTTAGAAGTGACTCGGCTGGTTGGTGGCGCTTCAAATGAAACACATTGATAAAGTATACCTTGCGACTAAAAATCTAGAAAGCTCAAGCGAAGCAGCCAAAAATTTGTCCTTGTTCTGCAAGATGAATGGCTATTTTTCTTTTAAGATCAACTGAAGTATGAGAAAATACTGACCTTTGAAAACTGTGTTATTGGTCTGGCTGTTTTGGTTTTGGAAGATCCGGGTACACTCCAGGAGGCCTCGGTCGCGGCTCAATGCTCAAGAGCTGAGTCGATTGTCCGATAGCATCCACCCAGCCATAATGTGGCTCGGCACTACATGAACAAGCAAAGACATCTATCTCAACAAAAAGAAAAGGCAAGGAAAACAAAAACATACTTGTAAACAGTGGTCTCCGTGACAACACTATCCCAGTTTTCGCCACTTGTGCTCTTCCCGTATTTGTGGACTTTCCTACAGGTCACAAGACAATCGCTAGTAAAAAGCCGAACAACAAATTCAATCATACCCGTCGCCGAAGTGCTCTTCACCCCAAGTCCTCGACCAGCCTTGAGAAACATAAAATATAGAAGAAAGCCTCAGTATCCTTTGGAAGTAGCTTAGAGCTTGGTGGCTTTTGAAAGGCCCTCTAGAAAAAGAGAAGGAAAAGATTTGATAACTTACTTTCAGCATTAGCTGAATGCCATGTCTCACCCTGCCGAGTCCCCGCACCATTTTGGAACTTCTCTTCCCACTTATCACCCCATTTCTCCCCGGTTGCATTCTCGGCCCACTTATCAGTCCTAACTTGAGTTGAGTATACAAGCTGGTAAGTTAAAAGTAAAACCAAAGTTCCATACCATTTTAGCACTGCTCCTCGTCCATCATATTGCTCGCCCCACTTCTCCCACCAGGACTGCTCATTGAGCCTTCCATACTTGTGAGCACCTTTCTCTGTCCAGCCCTTGGCATTATACTTTTCCCACCTGGTCCAAAACTAAGATGTGATATTAAGCTTGATCATACGACGTGTTCTTACCATTTCTCGTACCATCCGGCCTCCCCATTCCCTTGCTTCGCTTGTTTCTGCGCCGTCCTTTCGATTCGAGCCAGGTTACTGCGCAAGAAAACACATAAAATGGATTTCAACAGTCTTAATATCTCCTCACCTCAATTCATCTTGACGCAAAATTTCCTGCCAGGTTTCCCACCAGGCATCGCCTCCAGCATTTTTACCGGACTTTTCAGCACCTGCAATATCCACAAGAGTGTAAAACAAGAAAAAAAATAAGCGAAACAAAGTTTACCAAGTTCCTTATAGCCCGTCCAGTCGCATTTTTCCCACCACTATTAGAAAAAGCAAGCTATGCTATTAAGTTGAAAAAGGCTAAAACGTACTGTTTCCTTCCATTCCGTGGAGCCATCGCTGCTTCGTCCTCCCATAACCGTATAGCGACACCGATAGCCATTTTCACCAAGATCTTCTCCACACTCTCGGAACCATGTACTTCCATCTTCATTTGTTCCGGAATCATTGGAAACCTCACTGCTTATCTTGATGCCCCAGTCCTTTTCACTGGCGATTCCAGTATCTGTACATCAAAGAATCCAATCAACAAGGAAAGGTAAATAGAAGAGAGACGTTTTATAACCTCTCGCGGGTGGAGTATCTCGGGGCTGAGAGACACAATTCACCTTTGTTCGTCTTTGATCATTTGAAGTATTCTTAAGCCTGAAACTCAAGGAATAGAAGTTAAAGTCACACACCACCGAATGGAATTCATACCTTGCCGAGCTAAACGCTTGAGCTTGTAGCACGGCCTGTGGTGTGGATACCAGCTTCTGCCGTTGGTCTTTGGAGTTAAAACCAACCATTCTCTCCCATGGTTCTTCCAAAACTTGGTGAATTCCACAGGTGACCGCATCTTCATTGCTTCTGGTGTGTTTCTCGTTGAAAAGCACAGAACTTATCGTCTGCCTTGGAAGCCTCAAGCTCTTCTTCTTCCTTCCAAGAGAAAAAGCATCCTTGCCTTTCAGTGACCCACCAAATAGAGACGCAGGAATCCCTGTTACTGGACTGGTCGTACATGAACTTCTAGATGGGAACTTGTTGGAAGAACCAATTCCAAAACCCACGGTCACGCTCACAGCCATAAAATCAACCCAACACTCCCCTCTCCCTCTTGCATTTCCTGTTCTAGTGCTCTACAAACGTCCCAAAGAAAGTTTCGCCGAAGAATAGCTCACTCAAGCCAAGAGGCTCAAGCTCGGAATCAAGCACCTCATCCAGGCTGTGACGAATTCGAGCTGCGTACCATTGGATTCCAGTGAACTCCTAGCCAGCGCCGGATCCGCCTGCTCTAGCCCTAAAACATACCTGTAAAAAAGTCAGATAATACACGTCGGACAAGGCCAAGCAAATGACGCCGCGTGTCAGTTCTCACAACGAATTCCTCCTATTTACGATGCCTGTGATGAAGAGATCGGGATGGTTTCTTGACGACAGCTGACCGGCTTGCAGAGATCTTAGCAGCGGATGAGGCTCCCACGATCCAAGCTTGGCACCGCAAAGCTTGAAGGTGGATACTCGAAACCACCCGGCGGCGAGCGAGCGAGCGAGCGGGAAGAGAGCTCTCGAGCGAACAAAGAGAAGACCACATCAATGCTATTTGCTCATGGTTGAAGATTTTTGATGTGGATGATAATGCGTTTAAGAGTTTCTGGAACAAAACCTCAGAAGTTTTGAAGTATCCACACATTAATGTAGCCTTTTACTGTTTGGCCTTTGGAAGAAACAAGACGCTTGCTAAAATACCTACAGAAAAAGATACTCAACCCTCTAGCGGAGGCAATCATTAACAAGCAGCTTATGTGACCTCGGTCTCATGCTTTATGGATTGAAAACACAGCCATTTTTTCAAAAACGCTTTAAGTTTTAAATAAATAAAGCCAACTCATATTGGTATTTAACCATTCCATTCCGCTAGAGAATATCCTAAAATATACTTATGCGTGTGTCATCCATGATCATCGTCATAACAACTTCATCCAATTGCAATGAGCCACGTTGCCAAGTACACGAGTACCTGACTTTGGTCGCGTGACTTTCCAGTGACCAATTCACCTGGCAACGCAAAGTAAAAAACGAGGATGGCTATGGATTATTTGATTACCCATCCCTAATTTTTCCTTTTGCCAAAACATAGCGAAGCTAAATTTGCATTCCCGGGAGAAATTTTCGGGGTCCCCTCAATTCGTGCATGGAAGGGGGACGCATGGAACCCCGCCCTCATGGATCATCTGCTCTGAGAGACTCAAAAGTGTTGGTTTTTCTGTCCCCCTTGGCCTCGTCTCCAGCGCATTCAGCACTTCCAAGATTATCGTTGAGACATGTTCTTAAGTAGCATCAAGACCGAAAGTGGAGAGCAGCCCTTCTTCACCTTCTCTGACACCAGCCCATACGCTTCATGAGGCTGGCCCGACTTGCAAAGAGCGTCCAGCAGAGTGACCTTTGAAGCACAATCCTCTAAATCTCTATCAGGCCCTGAAAGATCAATAGAGCCATCCTTGCCTCTTTGGCCTAAAAAAGAAAAAAGATGTACATTGACTTTTGATACCCGCCATCGTTTCAATCTTCTTCCTTACATAAGCTCCACTGAAACAACAAGAAACAACAATACATTTAGAAGAATAAAATGAAGTTAGCATGGAATTACCTCTTCATGCAAGAATAAGCTACAATGAAATGCCTGATGAGTTGCGACCATTGGGGCTCCTTTCATGTCGCTCACCGACGGCCAAAGCGTTCAAAGCCTGTGTCAACACAAGATGGGTATTTCTTACCACAGTATAGTTCTGGGGTCTGACCACCTTATGAAACGAAGAGGATTAAAAATAATTGGAGCTTCGAGTTACCTCTTCTCCAAGTATTCACAACGTAGATCTCATTACCTGATGGAACTAAAATAATTAGAAAGAAAAGAGCTTGGATCTCCCTCCTCGGTGAAGTTTCCACAACGTATATCGAGCGTATATCTCGTGAATTAAAAACAGTTACCTCTTCTTCCTCTTCGGTGAAGTTAGATCGGGACAAAGAGGAATAAAAACAATTACAAAGAAAAGATAACTCTTCTCCTCAGTGAAGTTTCGGAACATCAAAGTTGAGCTCGTCCAAATCCCGTTGACAGAATCACTACGACCGCGTTGACTCACTAAAACCCTAACCCTGTCATTGAAATCTCGCCGGTTTGCGAATTCTTTCAGTGATGGTGGCGAGCGTACAGATTCTTTCAATTTGTGCTGGGTTGGAGAGTCTCTAGCTCACTCACAACTTGAGAATGAACAAAACAAACCAACTAAACATCACTAACTAAACATGCCACAACTAAACATTTGTTGGCTACCAACTAAGGTCTATGTTGGAGTATAAATGTAAGCATTTCTAAAACACTAGGCTATAGGCTCTTCCGTTTAGCTCGAGAGAAAGTGGAAACGCAGCATCAACTTCTCTCTGAATTCAACACCACAACAGGTACTCTTACTCTCTCTTTCTTTCTCCAAGAATTTGTTCTAACCATCTCTCTCTCTCTCTCTCTCTCTCTCTAGCATGCTGTGTTACCTCCTCTTGATCTTCTTACTTGCAAAATCAGTAGAATCATTGGATCGAGTTGTTGTGGATGGTGTAAGATTGGTTCGCATTGTTTCATCAACCAATCCTTCTAAAGTTATTTCTGTTAATCATGGCACTGGAACTGTTGTTTTAGCGGACCTTAATCATAATGACAACTACCAGGTAAAATATTTCTCTATAATTTTTTTTAATTTCCTTTTTAAAAGGTTTGGGAGCTTTCATATGCCATGGGCCGGTTACGAGATTCAAGTGGGCTATTTGCATATTCCCTCAAGAATTTCGAGACTCAAACTTATCTTCACCATGGCATGTCACCTGGAGAGGTATTTGTCATCATTTTTTAAGATTTATTTTTTAAAATGTTTTTATTCCAGGTGATTATAACACAATATTTTGAGATTCCTGATTCGGACTTATTATGGAACTCGGGTACGGAAGACGTTCGTGGAGGCTACTACGTAATACGGGCAACCACAAACGTTTATCTGAGTCTGTCCATCAAGAAACCAAATTCGATTACAGTGGAAGTTGGTCAAAAGAGCTGACCAATTATGGAAATTCGTTGAAGTTAATCTTGATTAATTCTAGACTCTTGCATTCTTTGCTGGGGGCGTGCTCGGCTTGCCTAGAGGTCATGTTGGCTTTGGAAGAGGCACGGCGCGCTAGCTGGAGAGGACAGAAGCAGCGTGCCTGGGAATCGGCGTGGCGAGGAAGAGCGCGTTCTTTCTTTTTTTCCCTAGACGATTGCATACTGGAGACTAGGGTGGGAGCGCCACAGCAGCGGCGAAGGCGCAGGGCCAATCTGGCATGGAACCCAGCTCAGGATCACAGTCTCTAGGATATGTTGCCTTTCCTCTTTTTTTATAGGAATGAGAAGATAGTCGCCAAGGGACGAGGTGAGCCGAATTTCAAGCATTCAGCTGAAGTTTTTTCTGATGCTGATGCTATGATTGATTGCAGCATAGACAACGGGTGATGTATGAAGAATAAAAGAAGCTTGCTTGTCCAACAGCATGAATAAACGAAGCTCAAGTCTCGCTCTATAAGCACGAACTCGCGAGGAAAAAAATGCAGGTGTGATATGTGCCTTCTAGTTTTTAAATTCCAAACGAATTTTCAGGCAGCCAAGGAGCAAGGAACTCAGACAAAAGGAGAATGAGCTTTAGTGGAGGCTGGGACGTGCCCATGAAGGCCGGCTGACGGAGAATGTCAAAGAGGCTTTTGCTCGAGCGAACACAAGAGCGTTCAAAAAGATTGCTAGGAAGTTCTGAAGTTTAATGTGGTTATTAGCCACACATAAACAGGGCAGCAGCAGCGGCGGTGTGATGTGTGCCTTCTAGTTTTTACTTCCATTGGAATTTTCAGGCAGCCAAAGAGCGAGGAACTCGGAGATGGTGAAGATGCGCCAGCGTCGTCAGATCGAAAAGGAGAATGAGCTTTGGAGGAGGCTGAGGGACGTGCCCAAGTGGCCAATAGTGATTCATCAAGAAAATGAAAATTCAGAAAAATAAGGTTTATGAACAAGATATTAGCCACACATAAAAAGGGCATCAAACCGAGATCGATCTGCTTTTGCTAACAGAATCAGCTTTGCAATCCAGTCTGTAGCCAGAATCTCTTCCACCTTCAAGCTTGCCAATGGGAATGGAACAATCTCTTTTGCTTTGAGACATGCCTCGTACAAGCTTGGATCGCGGGGAGCCTCATATGCTGCAAAAATCTCTGCAAGCCCATCAGCTGGAGTCAAGAAACCATCATGATCTCTGTCGATTGAGTTGAACCTCATGAAGATTTCAGTCTCATTGTTAGGCTCTCGATGTGT